GTATAAATGTTGTGTATTTTTTGTTTTTAATGTGTATAATTCATTTTTGTTTTAAATGAAATGAATAAGCTAACTAAACTAAACTAAACAAAATATTGATTAAGATAGCTGGGACAAAATTGCGACAAAATTAGTCTGCCTTATGTTGTCTTATTTTGAAAATATGGATGTTGTGCTTGTTCCTTTTCCTGTTGGTGCGAAGTAGATTGACTCCGGAGCAGCTCCGGCGTCCGGCAAAAATAGAATTGGATCTACAGTAATTTTGGCAGATCGCCGTCCACTCACCGCCGCCGTGCAGAGYCAGTGTAAATACTCTCATTGATTAATATATTTGCTGCGGAGGTCGCAATATAGCAGAGCCGCATCTAGTGTAGATTAGGGGTAAGTCAGCTGTGAATGAGTGGTTAGGGGAGTCGTTCCTCTAATGCGAGAGTTGGCGGTTCGATTCCACCGCTATTAGGTCACATGTCGAAGTGTCCCTGGGCAAGACACTGAACCCCCACTGCCTCTGATGTGTCATTAGTCTCTATAGATTAATTTACCTATATTAACTTTGTAGAGAGATTTAGTAGAGTGCTGATGAATGTAGGCAAATGAGGGCATAGATTATTGTGTAAAGTGCTTTTAGTTTCCTGGTTGAATAGAAAGACACTATATAAAGTACAGTATAGTATATTTACCATTTAGTTTACAAAATCTTGTTTCAGTCAAAACTGTTTTTAATTGCAATGTAGTGCAAAATAATCTTTCTTGTTTAGGTCCTAAAGATTCTATAATATTTCTATAATCTAATTTTGTTTGAAGTGCGATTAGGGGTTTATTAATAATCCTTTTCTAAAGGCGCTGGAGCCTTTTAACTGTAGTTGAATCATGAGGTGCCTAACAACTCCCATCCCAAACATTCTCATTTCTCGCTTTCTCAATAGAGAATAATTCAAAAAAAAAAAAAAACTTTCATTGTGTGACACAAACCTACCTGCTGTATACCAACTGCGTATGTCTTCAAAAAAAAGTCTGCAAACTCATAATATTCCTTTGTCACGTTGCCAGGACTGCCATACCTATGATTGAAAACAGAACAATGAGGGTTGGAAAAACTCTAACGTTGCTTCATGGTGATGATATACAGCTCCTGGACTCACCGCTCAAACAGTCTGGTGATAATATGTAGTGCCCACTTTTTACACTTCCACCATCCCAGCTCAGGACGATCATCTTCATCAACCTCCAACATCTCCTGACAAACACACATCAGAGGCAATTTCACAAGGTGTTGAAGACTGGACCAACATTTATACAGCTGCTGGTTCAGTCTGACCTGAAGCTGAACAACTTGTTAGTTTTCACAAAGTCTGAATGAAACTATGAATGCGTTGTTTTATATACAGAACAATAATGCAGTATAATTTAAATTCACCAGGCGAGGCTGTCCAGGTACAGAAGCTGCAGCTTACAACAACTTGAAGCCAGGAGGTCCAGGAGTTCATAGAATTATTTTTAATTTAACTAGAACGGTGGAGGTTTAGCTAATGCTAGCTAACAGTTGACGAGCCGAGACACGTCCACTCGCTGTGCTTCACTCTACTCTGGCAGAATCAGTGAGYCGGGTGGGAAGAGTTCAAACAACCTCTATGGGTTTTCAGAAAAACTCAGCTGGATCACACACAGCCTGCCCAGTGAGGAACAGAGCCAGCCGCTCCAAGCTGACAGTGCTTTGTCTTTTCTCCTCATGATTTTAATTCACATGTTTACAGTCGGTCAGATTTTTTTTTACTCAGTAACAGAAAGGTTTTAAAATGTAACTACCGTAAGTAAAATACTTTAAATAAAACCTACTCAAGTAAAAGCAGAAATTGGAATAATCACTCCAAAAATTACAAATGACACAAAATTCTTACTTACTTACATAACGCAAGTAAATGTAATTCGCTACTTTCCACCCCTGGTTGGGCTGTATAAASGAAAAGTGCGCAGAAACGTGTGTGTTCACGGTTTTATACATCTGAATTTTTTTTTGTGCGGTGCACTGTTCAAAATTTGTCCATAAGCCAACTTTTAGTGCGAAAGTTGCACACTCCTTCATACATGTGGCCCCAGGTCTGCTGAGAAGACCACTGGTGTTGATCTATCCACACTGCTGGATCTGATATCAGATTTTTTTCTGCTTAGCCTTCAGAGGA